ATTAAGAAATTAAAAAAAAAAAAATAATAATAATTTGATCATAAAAGGCGGGGGCAAGGGATGGGGCAGAGCGAACAGAATGCTTCCACTGCACGGGCATTTTCCCAATGCATTTTTTTTTCAAGATCAAATGCTACAGAATACATTTGAAAATTGCATGGGACAAGCTTCACATTGATTATTTTTTTTTTTAAACCACTGTGGCAAGGGAAAATTACATAACCAAAACCTCTTGGATGTCTGAAAACCAGCTGGCATCAGAAAATGATCTTCTGCCCCTTTGAAAACAAGCTATCGACAACGTACAAAATTTAATAAACAGTCTATTTGTTGTCCCTTAAAGGTCAGTGCACTTTTCCAACACTTTTCCCGTAACACACTTATATAACTTTATTCATTTTTCTTTCCAATATCTTCCTGTAATTCAGAAGATTATTTAGGCTCCCATATGGTTGCCATCAAAACCAGCAGATGCCAAGCAAATTAAAACACAAATTATGACTTGTGATATGCTGATGTATCATAATCACAGCATCTCTCACAACTTACAGTGAATCATCAGATAATGCAAAGATTTCTGAGGTGTCAATGCTTTCTATACATCTGTCCAATTAGGCTAGGGTCAGTGGAATCAAGAGTGGACTGAAACTCAGAGTTAAACAATAGTATTTATTTACAGTTTCCACCAAGTATAATGAAGCATAGAGACCAATTTAAAGCAGTTCTTGAAACTAAAAGTTAGCTTAAAACTTCTTACAAAAGTAGAAGGGGAAAGAAGAAGAAATGGGGTTTGCCTTTTGGAAAGCAAAGCAGCCTGTGTTTACTTTTTGCATTCTACCTTTGACATTGTTTTACATGGAAGTCTAAGCGGGAACGGGAAGAGAAGGCATTGTTCGTTTGCTTTTTTAAACTACAGAAAAATGTTTTCTGTTACCTTATATTAGGGCTGCAGCTCTCATCTAAATCAGATTACATTATGGTTTACCCAGCCAAAGACATAAAAGCTCATAAAAAAAAACCACAGTCTATTCCACCAGCTGAGAAATGTAGCAAACATAATGTGGTGCTTTCATGAGCTAGTCAAGTTAAAGCACAGGTGTACCCTAATGAACAACCAGCAGAATGGCAGCTGGGCAACGGAAAGGGAACAGAGTTCTAATTTTTTATTTAGAGATATTTGTTCCTATTTGGTCTCATTTCCCAAATCTTACTTTGATGATTGCCAAACAAGCTTTTCTTTTCCACGAGAACATATTAATCTCAAAAAGGTTTTCTAAACAAATGCTTCCAGCAGATTTAATACTGAATTAAAAAAAAAAAGCTTGCAAATATACTGAGAACATTAAATATGCATAGAATTTTGCATAGACTTAGTGGATAGTATTGTCTTCTATGATAGTAGGCAAGACACGTAGGCAAGAACACATTACCTGGGGTGGTGTGAGACTGAGAACTGCCTCTTAAAGAGCATACTGTTACCTTTAGTTACAACTACATGTACAGCATTAGAATGCAACTTTCCATATTCATTATTCTAATAAGTCAGTTGATTTTTTTTTTAAAGAAAGAAATAACAGACCAGCACAAAACCAAAAAATTTACAAAAGTCTGATAAGTTATTTTGCCCATATTCTGCAGCATATAAAGTTTCAGATTTTTCATAATATCTTCAGTTTAAGTAGAATGTACAATCATTCCCCACATAATTTCAGCAAATCTATAATATTCCTCTGTCCAAAGCACTGACAATTTTCTTCTTAAAACCATTACTCTTCTAACTCAGTTCTCTCAGTTCTCTATTTTTAGTCCATTGTTTTATGATGCAGAATAGAGACTATTTTCCCATTTGTTTACAATAAAATTTTAAAAGGTTGTCTTAAAACCACTACGTAATAATGCTCAGGTAGAAGTTTTAACAAAGATGTTCTACATGTCTCCATGTTCACAAGATCCCCAGAGAGTGTTATGAGGTTAATACAATAACTTTTTCATCATTTCAATCTATTTACAATGACTATATTAGTGGCTATTTTTGATTATCACTTTCTGTGAACAGCCAACCGAACTTGCAATTTTCATTTACAGCTTTTCTGGTCCAGTTTCATGACAGACTATTGAAGGGTTTGCTATTAATTCAGTAAAAACAACATTAAAGTGTATGCTACAAGAGTAACTGCCTGTGTTTTCACTCCAAATCATGAGAGACACAGTAATAAATGCAGGCTTCCTCATAAAGAGATTATAAGAGTTTAGTCATTTCTTCAGAATATTGTAAAGTGCTTTGTCTCTGTGGATTTCAAGAAGTTTAGCCAAGGACACAGATGAGACAATTAGCATTTTGCAAAAGGGGAAATCTGTAAGCAAGGGCCACACATCGAGCAAATGGCAGAGTGGGCGATCCACTCAGGTCTTCAGATTAACATTCCAGCAGTATAAAGCCACATGGCCTAGCAAAATATCCTTTAACCCATTCACTTACAACAGAGGAACATCTGCCGTCATGCAAAAGCTATGCTACATCTGCCTCAACACCACAGGAATAAGAAAACAACTAGCCATAAAATACCTAAAATACCTAAAAGATACTGCTTCCCCACTTGCACCATCCACACATTCACCTTCAGAGAATGAGGAGGAGGGTATATAGCTTCTTATAGACTGACAGTGCCTGAAGAAGCAAGATAACACATTTATGTATATTTCACCATAATCTCCTTCTTTTAGTCCAAGGACATGACACACAAGTGTTCCTCACACCACTCTGTTCCCTGCTAAAAAAAAACATGTGTTCACAGCAACATATGCCTAGGGGAATCAAAATTTAAAAACAGACAAGTGAAAAGAACCATGACAAACTCAACCACTAAAAACTGGGCGAACAGTACAATAAAAACAGCTGCTGTAGGGTCAGAATACTACAAAGCTTGCAGCCACTTATCTCCACAGGTTGGTGTCAGGCCAAGTAAACATTCACAGAAAACTGCAGTCAACTTCACTCTAGCAGCATACTTTCTTGATTAAGGGAAGGTATTTCACTAGAAAAGTGTCACTAATCAGAACTCCCATCCTTTCAAAACAGCCTCTTCAGGCATCTTTACTTTCCAAGAACACAGAGACAAGGTTAACCATGAATACCTGCTGGCCATGTAACCACCATCTATTCTCACACAGGTGATAATCACAAGCTCAGTATCGGTCGGAAGGTTTCTCTCCTCTATTTTTTCCCCACCTTCATCCATAAAATTTCAAAGTGCTTTTTTTTCCCCTTCTCTCCAATTCACCCTTCTAGTCCAAAGAAGCCACTATACCACATATGTATTCAACGTGCCCTCAAAGCCTCTCAAAACCACATTCACCCTTCCCTGGGTTTGTGCATGTTTTTCATTGCTAAATGGAATATGTCATGAAAAGAGGGGGATTGTACGCATATGAGCCTTCATCCAACTTTAACATTCTGTGCAGCGATAAAACCTCATCATTTATGTATGGGAGAATGCTCACCCCCTCTCTCCGTGGCTACCAAATTTGGCATATACATCCAAACCCAGCCGATTCTCTTTCAAACCCGACACATTGAGAAGATGCTAGAAATACTATTATATGCAGGTTACATTTCACTATACGGTTCTGTCTACTCTATAGCCAGTGCTAGAGTGGTGCGACGAGATACTGTGCAGACACGAATCCCCCTGCCAAGCCTCCCATGGGCTAGCACTTTAGGGATGGGTGGGAATACTGCTTCTTTCCTTCTCCATCCTATTATCGCCGCTACTACTACACGGTAAGAGCTAATCATAATAAACCCGGGTCACACACAGCCTCATCGTTGTGTAATCACCGCCTGTTCAGAGAACTTGAGCTGTGGGGTTATTTTATTTTTATTTACCAGGGACATCAGCACAAACACACGCAGATCAATTCGGTCTCCAGGCCCCGGGTGTCTAGCTGCTCCCTCCCCCCCACCACAAAGCAGATCAGGGGGAAGGAGGGAGGGAGGGAGGTGGGGAAAAAAAATTAAAAAAAAAAAAAGAGGGGGAACCCAAAAAGGCAAGAAACCCTCTTCTCACCTACAACAAAAGCAATTACGAGGGCCGGGAGGGATGGAGGAACCGGCAGGCTGGGAAGGTGCAGGAATGCAGCACGCCAACTCGCCCGGGGAAAGGCTCCCCGGAGCCGGCCGTGAGAAGCGAGGGGCGGGCGGGGGAGGGGGGGGGG